CATTAAATCCATCTGACCTAGTGTGTGTGTGTGTGTGTGTGTGTGTGTGTGTGTGCACGCACACACATGTGCCTATATGTTTACCAGGGCTATAGCTGCTATAGCATTATATAGTGGCCTTATTTGTCTTGTTTCTGGCCTTTGTTTTGAAGTCTATTTTGTTAGATATAAGTATTGTTACCTCACTTTTTTGTTTCCATTTGCATGGAATATTTCTGTTGTTGTTGTTAATCTTCAGCTGAGGATATATTTTCCATTGACTTTTAGAGAGAGTGCAAGGGAGGGGGGGAGAGAGAGAGAGAGAGAGAGAGAGAGAGAGAGAGAGAGAGAGAGAGAGAGGGAGGGAAAGAGAGAGAGAGAGAAACTTCAACGTGAAAGAGATACATTGATTGGTTGCACACTCCCCAACTGGGATTGAACCTGCAGCCCATGTACATGCCCTTGACTGGGAATCAAACCCATGGCCATTGCTGCATGGGCTGACACTCAAACCACTGGCTTGCACTGACTAGAGCATGCATGGAATTTTTTTTTCTATCCCTTCACTTCCAGTCTGTGTGAGTCCCTTGTTCTGAGGTGGGTCTCTTGTAGACAGCATACATATGGATCACATTATCTTATCCATCCAGCTACCCTATGTTTTTTTTTTTATTAGAGCATTTAATCCATTTACTTTTAAGGTTATTATTTACTAGAGGCCTGCTGGATGAAATTCGTGCACAAGGGTGGGCAGGGGAGGGGAAGGGTGTCCCTCAGTTCGGCCTGTACCCTCTCCAATATGGGACCCCGCAGGGCATAATGGGCAGTCGGACATCCTTCTCACATTCCAAAACTGCTGGCTCCTAACCACTTGCCTGCCTGCCTGCCTTCCTGCCTGCTTGCCCCTATCTGTTTCTGCCTCCCAGCCTGATCGTCCCTAATTGCTCTCCTGCTGGCTTGATTGCCCCTAACCATTTCTGGCTTGGCCCCGCATCAGGGACCCAGGATTCCCTCCACCAGCTGACCACAGGCACCCAGGATCCGGGCCTCCTTCCCTCTGGTCAGCCATAGGCACCCAGGCTGGCTGCAGCCTCAGGGGATGGTGGACAGGTGGCTTCGCCTAGGCTGCAGCCGCAGGTGCTGGTGCCCGGGACCACGGGTGGATGGCTTCTCCATCTACCAGGCCACAGCCACCCACAGGTGTTGGCACCCTGGACCGCTGGGTGGGTGGCTTCTCCATTTCCAGGGCCACAGCCAGCCGCAGGTGCTGGTGCCTGGACTGCAGGTGGGCGGCTTCTCTGCCTTCCCTGGGATGCAGTGTGGGCGACTTCTCTGGCTGGCTGCGGTCTGGGATCATGGGGCAGGTGGCTTCTTTGTCTCCTGGGCCTCAGGCAGTGGGGCCTGGTTTCTCTGTCTCCCCCAGGACGTGGGACAGGCAGACATAAGGCTTCTGCTGCTGGCTGCGGCCTGAGGTCCCTGGGCAGGCGGCTTCTTGGTCACACTGGATGCAGCCAGCCTCAGGCCCTTGTGCTGGACTTCTCTGACTCCCACAGGCTCAGAGCAGCTGCAAGGCAGGCTGCTGCCATCTTCTCAGGCTAATTTGCATATCCACTCTTGATTGTCTGGTGAGCATTGCAGAGGTACTGTCAATTTGCATCTTTCTCTTTTATTAGTGTAGATTGGTATTTATTTATTTATTGCAGTTGTTTTTCTTTATGCCTGTGCTTCTCTCTCTCTCTCTCTCTCTCTCTCTCTCTCTCTCCCTCCCTCCCTCTCTCTCCCTCTCTCTCTCTCTCTCTCTCCTTACAGCATTCCCTTTAGCATTTCTTGCAAGCCTGGTTTGGTGGTAATGAACTTCTTTAACCTTTTGTTGTTGTTGTTGTTGTTGTTGTTGTTGTTATCTGGGAGCACTTTATTTCACTTTCAATTTTAAATGCAACCCCAGAACCTATCACTGGCCTGCGTGGCTCCCAGACAGAAGCTTCCCTTGGAGGCGTGGTCTTTAGGTGCTAGCTCTGCAGTCTCCCTGGCACCTCTGTGCTGTGTGTGAAACCAGGAAAGCAGGGGAAGAAAGTCATCCCTGAGCAGCACTTTGATTTCTCCACGTTCCTCACCACATTTCCAGCCCTGCTCTGGGCCCCTGAGCAGCGGACAAAGCAGGACGGGCTAACCGAGTAGTTCGGCAGGTGGGCAGTGATGCTGCCTGGCACTCAGTGTGGGCGAGACCCACCTCCTCCCCACGCCCATAGTTAGCCCCTGCCTGCCTCTCTGCCCACAGTCCTTCCAGAGAACAGAGAGCCCCTCAAGACACTGCTGCGTGCACTTCAGACCCTCCACCAGATGGCGTGGCAGACTGCAGAACTTTCCAGGCTGCGGGTGGAACAGTAGGAGCGCTCCTTCCCTGGGCTGGTGCTGCCCGAGTCTCCCAGGTGGACAGGATGCCCACTGATTCCTGTGCCCGAGGCTAAATGGGGCCCCTTCCTGTCTCTGTTGCTGAGGATTGGGGATCCTTGTGCGGGGCTGAGACCTCATGCTCCCCAGAGGAGGTCCTCCTTTACCCCCACTTCCTGGCTACCAGCTGTAGGAGGAGGCCCGCTCCAGCTGCTCTGCGGCCACCGCTGCATCTCCTCCAGCATAGACTTTCATGCCAGCGCTGACTTACACGCATGGCCACCTGGAAACACTGTGCTCAGAGGACCCTGAGGCAGAGTCCAGGCTCAGAGGAACGTGCTGTGATCAGTGAGCACCTGCCAGCCCTGCAGGAGGAAAGAGGGAACGGTCTTTGCTGCAGGCCAGCTGAGGAACCTGTGCTGACCACATCCATCTTTGCTCCTGTCCATACTCCACATCTCATAGGCAGTGTCTTTCTGAACACGTGCATTTTGTTTTGTTCTCCCTGAGATTTTAGAAATATTGCCTCTTAAGTCCAAGCCTCTTGCGGGTTTGCTTGGGGCCAGAGGTGAGGTTGCAGCTTCTCCATTTGACTTCCTTATTTGTGTTGAAGACACATCCCAATCGAACCTGAGTCTGAAGCTGGTCACTAGGAAGTTGTTTGGATTGGGTGCACCTTCTGTGGATTTCTTTATCACTGACTCTCAGCTGCCGTCCCGGCTTAGGCTGCAGCAGCCACGTGGGCTCGATGGCCAGCCCCTCCTGATGGGCTTCTGCAGGCACCTGGTGTCTCCACAGCGAGGTTCCACTTCTTCCGGTTCCAAAGCCATGCTCCCTCTGAGCTGGCGTGTGCTCTCCGTTTCCAACTCCATGTCTTTAGAAAAGCTCATTTACAAAGCAGAGGGCACACTGCTCCGGACGCAGTGACTGGCGGCTCAAGGACCTCGGGCCGCCCTGGGCCCTCTCACCGAGGGCTCGAGCCTCACCCCCGGTGTGAGTGTGGTCTCACTCACCGCAGGAGACCCCTGGCTGTACAGTCAGGGTTCCCAGAACAGAGCCTTCCGAAGGGACCCGAGAGCTGGGAGAGGAGGAGACGCAGAGGGTGGGAGGAAGGCAGCAGCATCGAAGATGAGAAAGTAGAGGCTCAAAGAAGTGGTCAGGCTCAGCTGGGCACCAGCCACGCTGCAGGCAGCCCTGTGGGCTGGGCTCGGGCGGAGCTAGTGGGTGGCCCTTGTGGTGACACAGTCTGTTTGCAGATGCCCTGCCTGGGCCCGCACTCAGGCCTGCGGTGGTGGCGGGCAGGTCCTGGGCCTCCGAGTGCTGGCAGCGGCGTGGCCTCGGCTGGCTGTGATCAGCCCGTTTAAGCGGAAAGTGCTCTGGAAGCTCAGAGAGCGAATTCCTCCCTCCCTCGCGTCCTTTGGGGACTGGAGGGTGGGGAAGGCCCTGGAGGAAGTGGCGTGTGGAAGGGCCCCAGAATGAGGGGTTTCTCTCCTGGCCTCCCGCCCTCAGTCTTCCTCTGTCCTGGGCGCCGCCTCCGTTGGCAGCACAGGCTGGCTGTGGTGAGGAAGCAGCAGGTCCTCTTGTCCGAGACCCGGGGGAGCGTGTTTCTGTGCGCACGTCCAGGCGTCCAGGCGACTGCTCTGCTCCCGGTCAGGCCTGCCCGCAGCTTTCCCCACAACTGCTCCCTCCGCAGGGAGCTGTCAGCAGCGCAGCTTACCCGCCCTCTGGGGCGCTGACCCTGGAGGCTGGGGCACTGGCCTTCAGAGGCTGGGGCACTGACCCCGGACAGGACGGGCTGACTCCTAGAGGCTGGGGCGCTGACCCCGGAGGCTGGGGCGCTGACCCCGGAGGCTGGGGCGCTGACTCCTGGAGGCTGGGGCGCTGACCCCGGAGGCTGGGGCGCTGACCCCGGAGGCTGGGGCGCTGACCCCTGGTGGCTGGGGCTCTGACCCCGGAGGCTGGGGCTCTGACCCCGGAGGCTGGGGCGCTGACCCCGGAGGCTGGGGCGCTGACCCCGGAGGCTGGGGCGCTGACCCCTGGTGGCTGGGGCGCTGACCCCGGAGGCTGGGGCTCTGACCCCGGAGGCTGGGGCGCTGACCCCGGAGGCTGGGGCTCTGACCCCAGAGGCTGGGGCAGGTTGGGGGTTGGGGTGGGCACTGGCCCCCCAGAGACTGGGGCACTGACCCCCGGAGGCTGGGGAGCACACTGGCTCCAGGCCAGGCTTGTGGAGCCAAAAGAGATGGCTTTTAAGGCACCCGAGGGCTCTGTATTTATGGCATCAATCTTGAGCAGCAGTTGTAGCAGCATCATAGTAAGAAGGTGTGGCAGTGCCAGCTGGGGGCTCTCCAAAACCTGTGCTCCTTCACATCTGGAGGCCGACAGTGGCCAGCCCTGTGGGGCGGGCAGGGCAGCATCCTCATCCGGGGAGAGCCTCCTCCTGGGGCCGGTGAGTCCTCATGGGGCATCTTCATGGGGGGGCGTCCTCACCCAGCGGGTCGCAGCACCGCCCCAGGCCTGTGACTGAGGAAGGGAGGGGAGCACGCTCTCCCTCACTGACCTGGACGCACGCGGGGCCTGCGCGGCGGCTCTGCAGGACACAGGACTGACAGGCTGTCCTCTGCTCTCCGCAGCGCCGGACGGGCGAGTGTACCTGATGGGCGGGCTGCTGGCCGTCGTGGGCGCGGCTGCGCTGGTCCTGTGCGCGTCCAGGAGGTTTAGGATCGACGTTGCGCTTTGGTATCGAAGTGCCTTCGTCTCCACCAGCACCACAGCGGGTAAGTGCGGAGCCTGTGGGCCTGTCTCCTTGTGCCCCCAGTGGTGTGGCCGCTGGAGACTCTTGGTCATGCCTCTGGTCCTCGGCACCTTCGGAGGCAGGCCTCTCCCGGACGTTCATGCTGAGAAACGCCGCCCAGTGCCAGCACTGTGTGCCACACCCGCCTGAGGCCGCAGCGGCCAGGGGGCAAATTCCCCAGGTCCCCAGCGGAGCCTTTAGGAGGGATCTCACAGCCACTGGTGGGAGCAAAGTGCCTTCACCAGGAACGGCCCTCAGCACGGTGGGCGTGGACAGGATGGGCGTGGGCAGGACGGGCGTGGGCAGGATGGGCGAGGGCAGGATGGGCGTGGGGAGGACGGGCATGTGGACAGGACTGGCGTGGGGAGGAAGGGCGTGGGCAGGATGGGCGTGGGGAGGACGGGCATGTGGACAGGACTGGCGTGGGGAGGACGGGCGTGGGAGGACGGGCGTGGGGAGGAAGGGCGTGGGCAGGAAGGGCGTGGGAAGGACGGGCGTGGACAGGATGGGCGTGGGCAGGATGGGCGTGGGCAGGACGGGCGTGGGCAGGACGGGCGTGGACAGGATGGGCGTGGGCAGGACGGGCGTGGGCAGGACGGGCGTGGACAGGATGGGCGTGGGCAGGAAGGGCGTGGGCAGGACGGGCGTGGGCAGGACGGGCGTGGGGAGGACGGGCGTGTGGACAGGACTGGCGTGGGCAGGAAGGGCGTGGGGAGGACGGGCGTGGGCAGGAAGGGCGTGGGCAGGACGGGCGTGGGCAGGACGGGCGTGGGGAGGACGGGCGTGTGGACAGGACTGGCGTGGGCAGGAAGGGCGTGGGGAGGACGGGCGTGGGCAGGAAGGGCGTGGGCAGGAAGGGTGTGGGCAGGACGGGCGTGGGCAGGAAGGGCGTGGGCAGGACGGGCGTGTGGACAGAATGGGCGTGTGGGCAGGATGGGTGTGTGGGCAGGACGGGCGTGGGCAGGAAGGGCGTGGGCAGGAAGGGCGTGGACAGGACGGGCGTGGACAGGACGGGCGTGGGGAGGACGGGCATGGGGAGGATGGGCGTGTGGGCAGGTCGGGCGTGTGGATAGGACAGGCGTGTGGACAGGACGGGCGTGGACAGGTTGGGTGTGTGGGCAGGACGGGCGTGGGCAGGACGGGCGTGTGGACAGAATGGGCGTGTGGGCAGGATGGGTGTGTGGGCAGGACGGGCGTGGGCAGGACGGGCATGTGGGCAGGATGGGTGTGTGGGCAGGATGGGTGTGGACAAGATGGGTGTGGACGGAATGGGTGTGGGTGGCACAGGTGCCAGGTACTTGGTGCTGGAAAATCTAAGTCGCCCACGCTCCGGTGTGAGGAGGGACAGAGTGAGTGTGATTGGAGTTCTCCATCCACTCCCTGTGTGAGCCTGGGAAGTATGGTACGTTTTCTCTTTCTTAGTTCCGGGATGAGGAAAAGGAGGGAAGGTGGGAGGGGGGCAGGAAGGAGCGACTGGATTGAAGTCAGAAAGGCAGTGGGCATCCCCCGGGCACAGGCAGGCTCCCTGTTGCCGGGAGGCCAAGGCCGGCTGCCAGGCCGCTTCCCTGGAGGTTTTGGTTGGGTGGCTGATCCGGGCCCCGCGGGTGCTATTCACCACGGGAACCCTCAGTGTGACTCTGAAACCGAGGAGCCAGCATCCCCACCAGTGTGGTTTTAACGGTGTTAACAGGGTGCAGCAAAAGTGAGTCTACAGCTGTGAATACAGAAAACACAGCTTGTTCTTGTATTGACTTTTATTAATTACTAGAGGCCCGTGTATGAAAGTTCATGCCCCGGAGGGGAGTCCCTCAGCCCAGCCTGGCCTTCTCCCAGTCCGAGAGCCCTCAGGCGTGGGAGGTGACCCGGAAATCAGTGGAAGGTGATGCCCCATCACACCTCTGCTGCTACCACTGCCAGCAGCACAAGCCTCAGCTGGAGCTGGTTACCTGCGCCTCCGGCGGCCCTGGGTGGCTGGAGGCTGGCGGGACTGGGTTATTTCAGAAATAGACACGCACCACAGCCGGGCCCGACCCCTTCTGCCCAGGCAAGGTTGAGGTGACTGGGTGCTGCCATTTTTGAGGGTGGGCCAGTCAATTAGCATATTCCCTTCTTATTGGCTGTGGGTGCTGCCATATTTGTGAGAGTGTGATGGTCAATTAGCATATTCCCTCTTTCTTAAATAGGATTGTATTATTTTCCTTACAAATAACTGTAAACCTACTTTGCTGCACCCTGTATACTTGTCTCAGAATGGACGCGACCTATTCCGGCCTTGAGTAAAGTAATAAACCTGCTTCTGGTCTCCTGACTGGGTGGAAAGATTACTAGAAGACTACAAGACCGTGTGCAGCTCACGTGCATGCAGAGACACGGGTTTAAGTCTTTCCGGTGCAGACCCTCGCAATGCTCACAAGAGAGGGCACAGGAAAGCAGGCGTGGACCGCGCCTTCCGAGTCCCTGCTCAGAGATGGCATCATTTACGCTAAGTGCCTGCTCTGTATGGAGAATCACATGGCAGAGCTGCCCACATGCCCGGTGACGTGTCCTAACTTGGACTTTATTTTACATGATATTTTAGAATTCAAACGTGGCAGCCCTTGAGCAACAGAAGAGAAACTGCTGTTTTCATGATAACAGGTTACACTGCAGAATCTTGCTGTGGCTCCTGGCCAGCGTAAGAGCCCCCGGTCCTTCCCAGTTCCGCTGTGCGTGGTTCACTGCGAGGGTCTGGACTGGCGGCTCAGCCGTGTCCCCAGAACTCTGTCACCCCCTGACCGCCGCTCAGTGAGGCCCAGCTCAGCATGAGGCGAAGGCAGCAGCTGACCCCTGCCGGCTGAGCTGAACGGAGGAGCACTCTGAGCCCCGCCCTGGGGCTGAGGGTGGGAGGTGGGAACCCAGTCAGCCAGTGGTCCTCTTCCTCTTTTATTTAATCCGTAAAGGACCGGGGCACTTTGTGACTACGTTCTCCACAGCTCAGCTGTGCGCGCTCTCAGGAAGCCGTGTGGAGTGCTGGCCTGACAGCCAGCCGGTGGCGGAGGAGACCGAGCTCCTGCGGCCTCCTTCTGGGAGGACAGCTGGTTGTCCGGGAGCCTGTGGAGCAATGGATGGCAAACACCGTGCGGAGAGAGAAGCTGCCCTCCTTGTGGTCCAGTGTCCGTCCCAGGGATTAGTCAGGCTTTGTGCGTGACTCCTAGTTACTTGTGTCTGCGTCGCGGTGTTATAAGTGGGTTCTCTTCCGTAGGCCTGGCCACGCCCACGAGATCTGTCTGCTCTCCATTCAGTCACAGGAGGCGCTTTGCACGCCTCCTGCCAGGGGTGCCCGTGTACAAAGCACGCAGACCCACTCACACACCATAGGGATGCGTATGTGAGGGAAAGTTCCCGTAATCAGAACAAGCAGAACCAGAACCCAAGTAGATGCAGTGAACACAGGGAAACAAAGGGAGAATGGTGAAATCAAGCCAGGCACTGTTCTGAGGAATCCTGGGCATGTTTTATTTATTTATTTATTTATTTATTTAAAATATATTTTATTGATTTTTTTTTTTTTTTTTACAGAGAGGAAGGGAGAGTGATAGAGAGCTAGAAACATCGATGAGAGAGAAACATCCATCCGCTGCCTCCTGCACTTTTCCCACTGGGTAGGTGCTCGCAGCCAAGGTACATGCCCCTGACTGGAATCAAACTTGGGACCCTTCAGTCCACAGGCTGATTCTCTATCCACTGAGCCACACTGGTCAGGGCTTGGGCAGGTTTTAAAGGTGAGCTTGCGTTAGAAGCAAACATGATTATGTACTTCCTCATGTGCTATTCACTGAAACTTTTCAGTGGCTCCTGGGAGCACATGGCCTTTTTGGGGACAATTTTGCAAGAAATGTTGTTTTCTTTACGGTTTTTATTTTATTTTATTTCTTTACAGATGTCCCTGTTCTCTCCCCGCCCCCCCCCCCCCCCCATTACTCCTGTCTACCGTGTTCCTGTTCCATCTCAGGCTCCACCATCCTATTGTCTGTGTCCATAGGTAATGCATATATGCATATAAGATCTCTGGCTAATCTCTTCCCCCCCACCCTCCCCCAGCTTCCCTCTAAGATTCATCAGTCTGTTCCATGTTCCCATGCCTCTGATTCTATTTTTTAGATTTAATTATTGGTAGATATGTACTTATTGCCATTTCCATTTCATTGTTAATGATTTTTTCTTCTCCTTTTTCTCCTCCTTTTTCCCTGTCTCCTCATCCTTATCCTCCTCTTCTTCCTCCTCCTCCTCCTCCACCTTCTTCTTCTTTTTCTTTCTTCAGTGCCCTTCAGCCCTAGCTGATTTGGCTCAGTGGATACAGCATCAGCCTGCGGACTGAAAGGTCCTGGGTTTGATTCCAGTCAAAGGCACATGCCTGGGTTGCAGGCTCAACCCCCAGTAGGGGGTGTGCAGGAGGCATCTAATCAGTGATTCTGTCGTCATTGATGTTCCTATCTCTCTTTCCCTCTTCTTTCCTCTCTGAAATCAATAAGCACAGTCTCTCTATATAAAAAGCCAGTGACCAGAACACAGTAATGATGGGAATGACTGGTCACTATGATGCCCACTGTTGCCAGTGAACTTGCCCGTTTGGGGTTGGGGCTGTGGGGGGCCAGCTGGCCAACCTCCTGAGGCTCCTCCCCCTGGCCAGCCCTGCCCCTGATGGGCCCCTACCACCCCGATTGGCCCCCAGCACCTCTCCTGGCCAACTCCACCCCTGGTTGCCCCCCCACAGTCCAATAGGGGGCAGGGCTGGCTAGCCAACCTTCTGCAGCCCCTGTCCTGGCTGGCCCAACTCCTGATGGGTCCCCACCACCCCAATCAACCTACAGCTCCCCACCACAGCCAGCCCAACAGAGTATGGGGATGGCTGGGGAAGGGGCCTGCCAGACCCACCCCTGCTGGGCTCCCATCACCCCAATTGACCCACCACCCCTCCCCCTAGGCAGCCCTGCTCCTAATACCCTCCATCCCAATAGGGTTTGGGGCCAATTGGCCAACTGCCTGAGGCCCCTCCCCCCAGCTGGCCTCAGCCCTGATGGGCCCCTACCACCCCATTGGCCTTGCCCCAGCCAGCTTCACCCCTAATCAGCCCCCTCACTTGAATCAGGGGTAGGGGCAGCCGGCCAACCACCTATGGCTCCTTCCCCAGGCCACTGGTACCCAATTGGCCCAGCCACCCCATTAGGGGGTAGGGCAGGGTGGCAGGCCCACCACCCACAGCCCCTCCCCATGGCCCTGATTGGCCTGCAGCCCCTCCCCCCAGCCAGCTCTGTCCCTGACCAGCCCTCTCTCCCACACCAATCGGGGGGGGGGGGGGGCTGGCCAGCCAACCTCCCACGGCCCCTCTCCACAGTGGTCACACCCCAAATCAGCCCCTCCACACCAATCGGGGGCAGAGCCCACCAGCTAATCACCCATGGCCCCTCCCCACAGCCTACCTGGCCCTGATCAGGGTGGTCAGCTGGGCAACCTCCTGCCATCTCCTCCTCCCAATAGGCCAGGCCAATCCACCCCAATTGGGGCCAGGCCTGCTGAACTCTACCCATGCATGAATTCATGCACTGGTGTGTGTGTGTGTGTGTGTGTGTGTGTGTGTGTGTGTGTGTGTGTATGAATAATGAATATCCCTCAACATTTCATGTAATACTGGTTTGGTGGTGATGAACTTCTTTAGCTTTCTCTTGTCTGTGAGGGTCTTTATCTGACCCTCAATTATTAATGATAGCTTTGCTAGGTAGAGTAATCTTGGTTGTAGGTTCTTGCTATTCATCACTTAGAATATTTCTTGCCACTCCCTTCTGGCCTACAGTTTCTATTGTGAAATCAGTTGATAGTCATATGGGCTCTCCCTTGCAGGTAACAAACTGCTTTTCTCTTGCTGCTTTTAAGATTCTCTCTTTTTCTTTAACCCTTGGCATTTTAGTTATGATGTGTCTTGATGTGGTCCTTTTTCGGTTTCCTCTTATTTGGGACTTTCTATGCTTCCTGGACTTGCAAGTCTATTTTACCAGTAGAGGGAGTTTTCTGTCACTATTACTTCAAATAGGTTTTCAATATCTTGCTCTCTTCTCTTTCTGCCCCCCCCCCCCCCCCCCCCCATAATCAAATGTTAGCACACTTGAAGTTTTCTCAGAGGCTCCTTACACTATCTTCATATTTTTGGATTTGTTTTCTTTTTGCTGTTCTGATTAGTTGTTTTTTTGTGTGTGTGTTTCCTCATATTCCAAATCATTGGTTTGATTCTCAGAATTCTGTACTGTTGAGTCTCTGTAAATTATTCTTTATTTTAGTTAGTGTATGCTTAATTTATGACTAGTTCTTTTTCATGTCTGACATTCTCACAAAGAATCTTGAAAGTCTCACTAAGTCCCTTGAAGCTCTCATGAATGTCCTTGAGTAACCTTATAGCCATGTTTTTTAACTCTGTATATAGTAATTTGCTTGCTTTTACTTCATTTACTTATTTTTCTGAAGATTTATTCTGTTTTTTCATTTGTAACATGTCTAATTGTCTCCTCATTTTATTTCTCTGTGTTTGTTTCTATGTATTAGGTAGAGCTGCTGTGTCTCCTGCAGAGTGGCCTTGTATAGTAGGTGTCCTGCAGGGCCCAGTGGCTCAGCCTCCTCAGGCAGCTGAGCTGAGCACTCTAGGTATGCTCATGTGTGATCTGTGAACACAGTCTTGACTTCCAGGCCAGTTGGCTGTGAGGGCTGCTGTGCAGGAGATACCCTTCTGGAGCAGGACTTGGTTCAGTGGGGATTTGGTGCTCACTGAGTCTTCTCCTTGAGTGTGTTGCTTATGGATGTGTACAGTTGTAATCTAGTGTGGTCTGAAGCTGCCCACTGGGTGCACTGGTTCTAGGACCTCCTGGAAAGCACAAATTCAGCCACTGCCTGGGGCCACCCATCAGGAGCTACAGAGAGATCTGCAGATGGATGCTACTTGTATTGGGCTTGAAAGTGCCCAGGTGAGGCGAATCTATGAAGCAAGGCATGCTGGTGCTAGTGCCAAGTCTTGAGCCTTTTATTGATATTCTGGGGCCTTTTATTAGGAAATGCTGATGCCACCTTCTGCTTGTTTGAGAAAATTTAGCCAAGACTGAATCCTGAGCCAGGACAGGCCATTCATATGGAAAAGCCTCTGCGAACAGCTTGGGTGGGCCTGCAAGTTGGACAAGGCAGGGTCTCAAGGAATCACCAGCGTGGGGTGAATAGTATGGACCATGCTGATAGGAACTCTGCCAGTCAGCTCTGAGATGGGGCATAATGACACCTATGAGCATCCCTGCCTGTAAGAAAACCACTTTCGAGTTCCCGCCTGAATGTCTGTAACCCAGTTGTTCCCCATATGTCCCTGGATCCCCTAAAGTTGCGACCCAGAGCTGGTGCTCAGGAGAAGTGGAACTGTGTAACTTTGTGTACCTAGCCCTTTAAGAGGAACTGCTGGGTCTCTTCTGTTCACTCAGCCATTTGCTTACTTACAGTGCTGCATGCTTTTATTTCTGCATTTATGAATGGCCTTCTGATCATATCTGTGTCTTGTTCATCTGTACACTGTGAGCACAGTGGCTGTGGCCTGTGGCTGGTCAGTACACACTGGCTCACTCTGATATGGTGACGTGTTATGGTGTTTGAGTTCTTAGCATGGCACAGCCAATTCCTAGAGTCTGCTGTTTGGTTTCCTGGTAGAGTAGTGTGCAGTTTCAATGAATGAATGATGGGGTTCACCGCTGGGGCTGAATTGTGAGGATATGGCCCACTTCACCTGGTGCAGTTAGGATAGGACTCTGTTGCACAGGACCCATCCACAGTGATATTGATGCAGAGTCTTGCTTCCAGTTCTTCTTTTCAGCTGCATACCACAGGAGGTAGTATAACAAAATGAAGGTTGCCTCTGATGGGCTTGTTAGATAGGCCATGGCCCATCAGAGAGTTTCTGAGCTTGATGATAACTAAGTAGAACCCCCCCCCCAAACAAAAACAAACAAACAAAAAAACCCCGAAAAGTAAAGAGAACAAAGACTGTAAAACAAAACAAAGCTAAACTGTGGTACAACCACAGATGGGAGAATCTAATTGGAGTCCCGGAAGGAGAAGAGAGAGAGAAAGGAATAGATATGTTTGAAACAGTAATGACTGAGAATTTCTCCAAATTAATATTAGACACTAAATCACAAATCCAGCAAGCTCAGAGAACACCTACCATGATAAATATTTTTAAAAACCCACACAAAAAAAAACCAACAAGAACAACCTCGCATACACCTAGGCACATTATTTTCAAACTACAGAAAATCAAAGATAAGAAAAAATATCCCAAAAGAAGTCAGAGGCAAAAAGTCACCTTAACCATAGAGAAACAAAGATATAAATTATGCTCAATTCTCAGACACCATGCAAGCGTGAAGCCAGCGAAGTGAGATATTTAAGTGTTAAAGGAATGAGATGCTGAGAACAGCAATGCTTGGCACCACGTCAGCCTGCTCGGCACTCTGAAGCCATCAGGCCTGAGCGAAGAGGACAGCATGGTGGCAACTCTGATTTCTACCTTGTTCACGTAGGAGGACCGGTAGGAATCACTCCATGCGATCACCACCCTCTCTTTCAGACGGGAAGCTGTACGATGCCTACGTCTTGTACCCCAAGCCTCCCCAGGACCACCGGGCCTCTGCTGTGGACACGCTGGTTCTGAGAGCTCTGCCTGAGGTGCTGGAGAGGCAGTGTGGATATAAGCTATTTATATTTGGCAGGGATGAATTTCCTGGACAAGGTATGTGTTAACTGAGGTGTAAAAACAACAAATGAATAAAAAATTAAAGGAAAATCGTAGGGACTCTGCTTGCCTTCCCTACCAAACCACAGGTAGTCTTCTACCTCCCAGCTCCCAACCCTGAGCTGGGAGCTCAGAACCCAACTCTCTTCTCCCATTCTTCTCATTCCTTCAACAGGTTAACAGAGACCCTGATTGAAACACCATGACTCTCACACTGAGCAAGGATATGGCTAAACCACCCATGTGCACAGGTGGTGGGTGGCACAGAGACTGAAAGTGGTCGCTTGCCCTGATGTCCTTGAGACTAACTGCTGAGTATTTTTTTTCAGTTTGAACATGTAAATAAGCTCATGTTTAAAGTGGATTTTCTAATCCTCAACCCCTGTCCATCCCCTCCTTTAACAGCAGTATAGTTTTGAGCTGTGTAGCTGACATCTCTGAACCTCAGTTGGCTCATCTGTCAAATGGGGTTAAGAATACTTCCCTGACTTGGTTGAGAGAATTAAATGAGTTTAAACCTAAGCATACTGAGTAGACAATTGGTGGACAAAGATCCCTCCTTTGATGGCTATAAAGTCAGTGGCTGAAATTTGAAATAAGTCTCATTTTCTACTCACCAGGAAATCAATATTACTACTTTATTGCACCCGGTAGTGGCTTATTCTGGGCTGCTTTAAAAGGTTTCTAACTATTTTGGATTTATAGGCTACTTATGCCCACAGAGTGACCATAGCTAAATCTCTGCCCAGAACTCTCCATGTTCAGAAATCACCCTCTATGCCAAAACTGGTTTGGCTCAGTGGTAGAGCGTCAGTCTGCGGGCTGAAAGGTCCCAGGTTTGATTCCGGTCAAGGGCATGTACATTGGTTGCGGGCACATCCACAGTAGGGGGTGTGCAAGAGGCAGCTGGTCAATGTTTCTCTCTCATCGACGTTTCTAGCTCTCTATCTCCCTTTCTCTCTGTAAAAAATCAACAAAATATATTTTAAAAAAAAAGAGAGAAAGAAAAGAAATTACCCTCTATGACCCTCTATGAGGAAATGAAAATTCAGTCCAGTGCTTGTGGTAAACATGTGGAAGAGCTCTCATTTCATAAGCAGACCAATCTCCATTCATTCATTCATTCAGCAGATATTTATTGAGAACTTGCTATTTGCCAGGTGATGTTCTAGGCTCTAGAAATGTGAAAACTAACGGGAACTACAAAGTCTGCTTTTGGAGAGGTTATCTGTTCATATGTTCTACGAATAAGGAGGATATAAAACTTGGTCTTTATTCTGAAAAAGACCAACTTATTTCAGGAACTCTCCCATCCCTGCCACCAGAACCAATCAGGATATATAAATCCTGGTCATTTAAATAGCTATGACACATAAGAGGAAAACACGAATAAAGATTAAAATGACATTTGAGTTAACTGCTTATTCTTTTTAAAAAAATATATATATTTTATTGATTTTTACAGAGAGGAACGGAGAAGGATAGAGAGTTAGAAACATGGATGAGAGAGAAACATTGATCAGCTGCCTCCTGCACACCCCCTGCTGGGGATATGCCCACAACCAAGGTACATGCCCCCGACCAAAATCGAACCCGGGACCCTTCATTCCACAGGACGACGCTCTATCCACTGAGCCAAACCGGTTTCAGCTTAACTGCTTATTCTTTTAAAATATATTTATTTTTAAAAAATTTGTTCATCACCTTATACCAGACCTTCAGCTAAGTCTGGCAAAACTAGGCATGATCAGATGAGCAGTTCGTGCCTGTGTGAGCTGAGGAAAGTGACATACCAACAACTACTATCAAAACACGTGGTTCGTGAATGTAAAGGACCAGTGTTTCAGGGGCAGTGAGGAAGCTTTCAGAGAGGGAGATGCATGTCAAAAGACAACTCTCGTTAATCCATTGCTAAGTCATGTCTGTTTTAATGTCATTCTTAGGGTCCATTTCTAAGGCTCTCAGGAGCAGTAAGATCCAGGCTGCTTTACTCATGAGGTCTTCTGCTTCTTTTCCTCTGTGTGCAGCTGTGGCCAATGTCATCGATGAAAACATTAAGCTGTGCAGGCGACTGATCATCATCTTAGCTCCTGAACCGCTGGGCTTTGACCTGCTAAAGAACATGTCAGAAGAACAGATTGCACTCTACAATGCTCTCATCCAGGACGGGATGAAGGCCATTCTGATTGAGGTGGAGAAAGTCCGGAGCTATGCCTCCATGCCAGTGTCGATCCAGTATCTCAGACAGAAGCACGGGTCTGTCCAGTGGAGCGCGGACGCTGCAGCGGGGGCACCATGTGCAAAGGCCCGGTTCTGGAAAAAAGTGAGGTACCGCATGCCGCCCAAAAGGTTTCCACCGCCTTCCACGGCCAGCTCCGGAGCTCACGCCCTGTGACCTCACAGCTGGCAACAGCTGGCAAGCGGAGGCCACCTGGGAGGTCTTTACCCCACCATGGAGAGTTGGCCCTCAGGAAGTGGCTCACAGCTGACAAGGTGCACTGCATTCATCCACCAGAATTTGGAGTCTGTCATTGTGGACTTGTAGAGAGAGACTGTTTATTTTTGTGTTTTGTTTTTGTTTTAAAAATATGGTTTTATTGACTTCAGAGAGGAAGGGAGAAAGACAGACAGAAACATCAATGATGAGAGAGAATCAATGACCGGCTGCCCCCTGCAAGTCCCACACTGGGGATCTAGCCTGCAACCTGGGCACATGCCCTGATGGGGAATCGATCCGTCATTTCCCGGTTCATATGTCGATGCTCAACCACTGAGCCACACCAGTCGGGCGAGAGGGACTGTGTTCATTTGCTTGTTTTGGGCAGAGATGCTTCTTTAGGGAAAGACATCCCCTCTCTAGAAGGCCCTCATTAACTTATGGCTCTGAACCCCGTGAACGCTTGCTGGACATGGAATGGACTTGAGCCCCTGAGAAGCGGGGCACAGGGCGCTGTGGGCTTGTAATTCAGATGTCCGGAAGCTGGCACATGGTGTGGCACCTGCGAGACCAGAGCTGGGAGCCTGGTGGTCAGGGAGGGCAGGAGGCAGGGTGTGGGTGGAGGGCTGGCAAGGAGAATGTCAGTTTTTACGCCTGACCAGTGTCCACAGGGCCCTGTCCTTAGGGGACATGTGCTATCTGTGAAATATACAGCCATGATCACAGTCTGAGCAGGTGATACCGGAAGCGACTTAGAGGTCACCCAGACCAGTGGGGTAACAGTGGCGACACTGTCATTGTGGGGTAATGGGCAACACTGTCATTGCCCATTAATCACCCTCTGGTGAGTAAGTCACACTTCACTTGTTTTTCCAGCTGGCTCACGTCAGCTAGAACGCTGAGCAACATGTGAGAGGCATGGCTACCACCCGAAATGATGTCATTATGGTCCAAGTAAACAAGTGACCTCGTCACAGGGCAGGCTATGATGTAACAAGTCACAAAGACTCTCGATACTAAAAATTAGCTGTCATTCTTATCACAGCTTTCAAAGACCCTGTGTCGAGGAGCCCATTCTATGGTAAATGACACTGAGCCTTAAAAAGTGGCCTGCTAGGGTGCACAATTAATATTCAGAAACTGGTGGCATTTTTATATGCCGATAATGAACTATGAGAAAGAGAAATTAAGAGAACAATCTCATTTACAACTATAACAACAAAAATAAGATAACTAGGAATAAATTTAACTAAGGAGATTACTCAGAAAATTATAAGACACCGAAGAAAGAAATAGATGAAGATACACATAAGTGGAAGCATATACTGTGTTCATAGATAGGAAGAATTAACATCATTAAAATGTCCATACTACACAAAGCAATCTACAGATTCAATGCAATTTCTATCAAAATACCACTGGTGTATTTCACAGAACTAGAACAAATATTCCAAAAAATTTATGTGGAACAACAAAAGGCCCTGAATAGCCCAAGTAATCTTGAGAAAGAAGAACAAAGTTGAAGATACCTGATATCAAACTATACTACAAGGCTGCAAAAATCAAAACAGCATGGCATTGGCATAAAACCAGACACATAGGCCAATGAAACAGAATAGAGAGCCCAGAGATCAACCATGGCTTATTGTCAATAGCTAACAAAGGAGACAAAGACATACAATGGGGGAAGACAGTCTCTTCAATAAGTGGTATTGGGAAAATTGGACAAACCAAACAAAAAACAAACAAACAAAAACAACAACAACAAAAAACTAGACCACCTCCTTACACCACACACAAGAATAAATTCAAAATGGATTAAAGACTCAAATGTTATACTCAAAACTATAAATCCCAGAAGAAATCACAGGCAGTGAAATCTTGGATATGTCATAGCAATATTTTTTTCTGTAACTCCTCGGGCAAGGAAAACAAAACAAACATAAACAACTGGGACCACATCAAACTAAAAGGTTTTGCAAAGCAAAGGAAACTATCAACAAAATGGAGACAACCTGCTGAACAGGAGAACATATTTACCAATGATGCATCTAATATGGGGTTAATACCCAAAATTTATAAAGTGTTCATACAACACAACACCAAAAAACAATTCGATTAAAAATGGGCAAAGAACATGAATAAATACTTCCCAAAGAGGGCATGAAAAGATGCTCAATGTTACTAATGATCAGAAAAATCCAAATGAAACCACAATGTGATATCACCTCACACCTGTCAGAATGGCTATCATCAATAAATCAACAGACACCGAGTGCTGAGGATGGGGAGAAAAGGGAACCTCAGTTCACTGCTAGTGGGAACGCAGACTGCTGCAGCCTTTAAGGAAAACAGTATGGAGTTTCCTCAATAAATTAAAAATGGATCTGCTTTGTAACCATTCACCCCACTTCTGAGAATATCTCCAAAGAAATCTCAAAACACTGATTTGAAGTACATGCAACCCAGTGTGCATTGCTTTTAACAGCCGAGATATGGAAACAGCCCAAGCGCCCCTCAGTAGGCGAGGGGATAAAATGGCTGTGGTACATCTACACCATGGAATACTACATGGCTGCAAAAAAGAAGGAGCTCTTACCATTTGAGACAGCATGGAGGGACCTGGAGGTTTTCATGCTAAGTGAAATAAGCCAGTCAGAGAAAGACAAACACCATCTGATCTCACTGATGTGGAATCTAATGAGCAAATAAACTAACAAAATAGAAACAGACTCACAGATACAGAAAACAGACTGACAGCTGTTGTGGGCTGGGGAAATAGGGAGGGATTAAGTAAAAAAACAAAACTGGCTGCTCTGGCCAGAATGCATGTGTCCCAGTCGATTCACCTGTTGCAATCCGAGCACCCAGTCGCCTGGTAGTAGTTGGTGGGCTCTTGGCAGGTGATCAAGCCACAAAGGAGGAGCCCTGTTAGTGTCTGACCAAAGGGCCGAGGGAGCTCCGTTGCCAGTCCTGCACGGAGGGCACAGGAGAAGTCAGCCACCTGGAAGAGCCCCCGATGGTGCCGGCACCTGGCCTCACCCCCAGAGCTGTGAGGAAGCAGTTTCACCTGTGGGCGAGCGCCCAGTTGGTAATTTGCTCTAAAGTCTAAGCAGGTGCTGATCCTCAGGGACAGGAGGGCTGAGTGGGAGAACAGTGGCCCACGAGGGCAGACGGGCGGGGCAGAGGGTCAGGCAGGTCTGGCCTTGCCTCCCAGGCAGTGGGTGGTGTGGGCTGTCTGGGGGAGCTTAAGGGATAAGAACACATTCTGGACTTCCAGGGTTTATATTTCCAGTGACCTGGTGTTGCATATTTCCCCCATCATGCTCAGGTCCTAACTCGACATCTAGCTGCTCTTTATTTTATTTAGTGTTTGCTCCTTAAAGAATTTTAAATAGTGACAATATCTATAACACGACAGTTACCATCCCAGCGCTTGTAGGTACAGTTCAAGGTCATCAAGCACATTCCTGTGTCACCAGCAGCAAGGTCCCAGCACTCCGCTTCCCAGAGGGGATCCTGAGGCCCAGGCCCTCTGGCTCCTGGTCACTCCGCCTTCTGCGCCATGAGCTGGCTGCACGGTGCCTCCCGGAGCCCGCACTGGGCCTGTGCCTCCCGGTGCCCGCCCTGGGTCTGTGCCTCCCAGTGCCCACACTGGGCCTGTGCCTCCCAGTGCCCGCACTGGGTCTGTGCCTCCCGGTGCCCACACTGGGCCTGTGCCTCCCGGTGCCCGCCCTGGGTCTGTGCCTCCCGGAGCCCACCCTGGGCCTGTGCCTCCCGGAGCCCGCCCTGGGCCTGTGCCTGGCTATTTCGGGAGCAGTGTGCCTCAGGCTCCCAGATCTAGGGGCTTCGGTTCCTTATTCCTAGCTGGTCCTCCCTCCTTCCTCTCTTCCCGCCTGGCATGGAACAGTGAGACCCAACAGGTAAATCTCCGCACCTGGTTCCTCTCTTACGGGTGTCACAGCGCCTCCCAGAGGACTGGCCATTGGTAAAATGAGCAGTTTCTCATGGTGGGCAAAGTGCTGGCCACTGAGTGCTGCCTGGGCTGCCCCTAGGCCTCCCTGCTCACGTGGGGCTGGGAGTACACCCTCAGAGGAGGAAGGATGGGGAGCACACCGCGGAGGAGGAGGAAGGACGGGGAGCACACCGAGGAGGAGTAAGGACAGAGGAGGAGGAGGAATGTCGGGGAGGAGGAGGAGGAAGGAGGGGGAGCACACTATGGAGGAGGAGATGGAAGGCGGGGGAACACAACGCGGAGGAGGAGGAGGAGGAAGGAGGGGGAGCACACCGAGGAGGAGGAGGAAGGACGGGGAGCACACCGAGGAGGAGTAAGGACAGAGGAGGAGGAGGAATGTCGGGGAGGAGGAGGAGGAAGGAGGGGGAGCACACTATGGAGGAGGAGGAGGAGGAAGGACAGAGGAGGAGGTGTAAGGACGGGGAGCACACCGTGGAGGAGGAGGAAGAAGGCCAAGGAGCACACCGGGGAGGAGGAGATGGAAGGCCGGGGAAAACAACGCGGAGGAGGAGGAGGAGGAAGGAGCGGGAGCACACCGCGGAGGAGGAGGAAGGAGGGGGAGCACACCGCGGAGGAGGAGGAAGGACGGGGAGCACACCGCGGAGGAGGAGGAAGGACGGGGAGCACACAGCGGAGGAGGAGGAAGGAGGGGGAGCACACCGCGGAGGAGGAGGAAGGACGGAGGAGGAGGTGTAAGGACGGGGAGCACACCGTGGAGGAGGAGGAAGGACGGAGGAGGAGGTGTAAGGACGGGGAGCACACCGTGGAGGAGGGGGTGGGGAGCACGCCGCAGAGGAGGGGTCCACGGCAGCCCCTGCACAGCGGGAATCGCTCTGGGAAGCGGGTTGGAGCCTTTTCCTGGGTCTCTCCTGCTGGGCTGGAGCAGGGGCGCGGGTGCAAGCAGTGCCCTTGGCTCAGCCCTGGGGAGGAGAAAACACCTGCTCCACCAGACATGGAGAAGCTGACCTCCAACCGGCAACTTGGCAAAAACCGAGGCCCCCCGCACTGCCGCGCCCTCTGCTGGCTACCGGGCCATCTCTCCCTCCTGCTCCCACAGCCCCTGGCTGACAGGCCCTGAGGCTGGGACCTCTGAGCACAGAGAGGGTCTTTGCCTCCCTCCCCCAAGCTGCATTAGGGGCCTGCACGGTGACTGCAGCCTGGTGAGGAGAGGCTGCTTTTTTCTGTCTGTAAGCGGAGACTGCTGCAGAGACTGTCTCCCTCAGGACTTCGCCCAGTGCAGCTCGGAGAGGGCGGCCCGGGCTGGGCAACGGCCCTCCCCGACAAGGGCTGCCCCCTCCCAAAGGTGTGTCTGGGGACAGGATCCAACAGATGCGCTTTGCCTGGGTTCCCGGGAGCCCCCTCTACTTCCTCTCCTTCCCCCCCCCCCACACACACACCACACACACACACACACACACACACACACACACACACACCTGCTCTAGCCTCACCTTCCAAACCCAGTGATAGCTCTGGACTGTGGCCACTCGGAGGCGACGAGAGAACACTGTGTGACAAACGCCCCAGACTGGTTTTGTGGTCATCTTCTGCCACACAGACTCAGGGGCAGACGAAGGGGCAACAGAAAGGGGAGAGGAGATGCAGGGCAGAGAGCAGTAAGGAAACAAAGTCATGGACGAGAAAATGAACAGATTGGAGACCGCCTATCTAAGTGTGCGTCTATTCCCTTCTGTATCTATATCCTCCCTCTCTATTTTAATGCAGCCATAGTCAGGGAGATGTGCTGACGGAACGTGGCCCTGCCAATTGACG